CCGGTCTACCAAGGACCCGGCCCTCCGAGACCGGGGAGTCTGGGTCCTCCGGAGGACCCGTCCTGTCGTTTTGGACACAGCCAATATGTGGCAAAGATCTTGCTAAAAAGGTAAAATAAGCTAAATGTTTCCTAAAAAGTACAATARTTTTGCAAAAATCTTAAAGTATCTAGCTATAATTTAGGAAGACTGGCTACAAACTTTAGCAGCATAAGGGTAGCTAGAAGCTAAAAGTATCAAGAGGCTAATTAGAAAGTAAAATTAGCAAAAGGCTAGCTAAGAATAGCAAAAAGTAGCTAAAAATAGATATTTAAAATTAACAAAGGACTGGTTTAAAGCTAAATTATCAAATGATAAGCTAAAAGCTTAAAGTAACAAAAGGCTAGCTAGTAGCAAAAAGTAGCAAAATACTTTCTAAAAGCTAAATGTAGCACAGGATAACCACAAATGTAGCAATTTTACTGATTTCAAAGGAAACCAAACTTTTGATGGATTTGAGTGTTTTTCTACAATTAAATTTTTTAAAAATAAAAACTGTAAAACAATAATTTGAATTCTGTGACGCATCAATAAGAGTTTTATCTTTACTATGCAGCCGCAAAGGAGTGGTGAGATGCTCAAAGATTCCCACCTGAATAAGGAGACCCTCCTTTATTTTTAGCATAACTCTGTTTTTCAGTGTTCCTCCTTTGACAACCACAACATTTTGTCCGAAGTCCCACAAATTTTCTCCCAAGGTTTCCATCGACCCGAGAGGTGAGAGGTTAGATGAAGAATCTGGAGTACCTCGGTTGCTTTTTTTGGTTCTGCGTCTTTCAGTTGCCAAAGTGTTGCAGTCAACAATAAGTGCTCCAGTTTCCCCACGATTATCTCAAAGGAAAGGAATTCAGCTGGGAAGGCCCCAGTCAGTCAGTCAGTCCGTCCCCTGAGACCACAGGGATGGGGGGTTCAGTCTGGCAACAATGGACAAGAGTCACATGACCTCCAGACAAAGTCTCCGGACTCCTCGACAGGGAAGTTTGTTTTTATTTGCACCAATATAAGTTTAGAAACGAGTTTCCTCTGGAAATATTGTTTAGATTTCCTAACATTAGCTGCAGTCTCACGCTGTTATCTGTTTAGTGGGTAAAAATTAAAACAACAATTCTACCTGAACTGGTCCTAAATTAGCTGAGATTTATAATTGTCCTTACCTTGTGTTGTTTTGATTTACACTGAGGGCAGGATGTGGTTTGAACTAAGTGCAACACCATCATCACTCCGAAGAGCTTTAAACAAGTTCAGCATGTTATCCTTGGATCAACTTAACGAGAAGAAGATGAGGAAGATTAGCTCTTTGAAACAGGAATGTGACGTACAGAACATGGCAGTGATTGTGTGTTCTGCTGTGTGGTCACCAGAGATGTGAGGGTAAACAAAAAGATCTGGATAATACGGCATATCGTTACAAGACGGGCTGAGAGTAACAGAAACAGATGGGACCCTCGGTGCTCTATGTTTCTGTGCGTTCATCTGTCAGCAAAATATCTCATGAACCAGTGGACGGATTTTAACGACATTTTTCCACTTTACGAACAACCTTTACGTACATTCAAGCATTCAAGATATTTGTCAACACGGAAATGGAAATTTTACAGGTGTTGAGCTGAAATTAGGCTTGGTAGCAGCTGAGAGTCATCCTCAACACGAACTTCAAACACTAACTGACAGCACAAGATCTAGTTATACAACTGATGAACCACTAGACATTTGATGTGTAACAACAACCTCAGCAGTACGGAGATCGATCTGTCTGTCTGTCTGTCTGTCTATCTCGTGGAGAGCAGAAACTGTATAAGAATATACTAAGAATAAGAATTTACTTTAATTACATCCATCCATCCATCCAACCAACCGCCCATACATACAACCAACCAACCACATATTCATCCATCCATCCATCCATCCATCCATCCAACTCCCCAAACAATCAACCAACCACATATTCATCCATCCATCCATCCATCCATCCAACTGCCTATACAACCAACCAACCAACCAACCACATTTTCATCCATCCGTCCATCCATCCATCCATCCATCCGCCCATATAACCAACCAACCACATATTCATCTATCCATCCATCCATCCATCCATCCATCCATCCATCCATCCATCCATCCAACCGTCCATCCATCCATCCATCCAACCACCCATACAACCAACCAACCAATCACATATTCATCCCTCCCTCCATCCATCCATCCATCCATCCGCCCATACAACCAACCAACCATCCATCCATACAACCAACCAACCATCCATCCATCCAACCAACCAACCATCCATCCATCCATCCATTCAACCGCCCATACAACCAACCAACCACATATTCATCCATCCATCCAACCAACCGTCCGTCCATCCATCCATCCWTCCTTCCTTCCTTCCTTCCTTTCTTCCTTCCTTCCTTCCTTCCTTCCTTCCTTCCTTCCTTCCTTCCTAGGTTTGTGGGTTTTGATTAACTCTGCCACGAAAGACTGCAAAGTCATGCATTCCTTCAAGAAATATCAATCCTTTAATTTGATCTGGCTTCTGATCCTAAATATATCTTTTAAAATGATGATTATTCTGAATGTCGGCCGACCTGCAGCGGCGTCCTGCTGATAACGAGTCCTGGTTGCGACGTTCAAATGGCCTATTGCGACCTTCGTCCAAAGTGTCATCGGTCTCGTCATCGCAAATTTTCCTCAGGACTGAAATTAAGCCGGATTTCTCACTTCCCATGCCAACACCCAGCTAAAGACGGCAGCACTAAACCAAAACTCAAAGAACCCACGGCACAAATTGCTCGGCTTAATCCCCTCTTCTTTCTTTTTTCCTTTGCAGATCAGTTTGCAAAGAAATCCTCGCTCATTTTTTCACCTTTTTTTTTAATTTCGTCGACCCTCTCGCTTTAACGACCCTGTTATCAATGCTCCAGCACTTCCTGGTCAAAGTCCAAACCTTCATGCTGTGACCGCGGTGGATTAGCTCGTTTCTCACTCTTTCTCTTACCGTTGMAGTGACAGCTCTGACTCAGGTCCCAGGTCCTGTCGTCACACAGTTCTAAGTGTTTCCTTAAGACCCAGGAGCAGGAAGAGACGTTTTCAACTGAGCTGAACRAGAATCATTCCTTCAAACAGCGMRGGACGATGTTTTTACCCAGATTTGATCCCTCCTTTAGTTTGATGTTCTGAAATGAAAGGTGTTGCATAAGATGCATTCCTACGAGGAATACTAGATCTTTATTTGATGCGTGAAATTCATCTTTATCCCGTTACTTTCACACTATAACTCACTTCTTGCTCAGGATGCTAACCAGAGCATTAAATCCTCCAGACTGCTGGTCAGTTGTTTTTAAACACGGCTGCTAATCCACTCATTAGCATGATTAACTGTGCGTGTGGTCAAACTCGGCCGCCACACGTCATTACTCTCAGGGAAAGGCTAAGCCTAGGTAACAGCTTGTCAGCAGCGGCGGTCTCAGCCACCGTCTCTCGCTGTGCTTTCTGACCGAGAAGTGACAGCGTGAGTTTCTCTCCCGAGCCCCTCCGTCAGCACCGCTGCAGCAGATGAGCCGATGTGAGCAGAATGTTTGTAATGTATACGGGGACTCTCACCCTCGCTGTATAAATCATGGGGAAACAGCAGGAAATGAGTGCTTGGTCACTTACTGTAATGTTGGCCTGGAGGCGAGTGGTGGAGGAGCATCGTCCTCTGGAGTCTAACTAGAACCAACGCTGGACTAAATTGACACAAGATTCAGCATAAGCTTATAAACCTGGTGGAAAAAATAAGACGCACCTGTTTGCCACCAAGTGAGTTAATAACAGAGTTAATAACAACAATAAATACAATCCATGGTGACGCTCAGCAACTTTGTTTTTACCTTTTAAAATTACCACAAAAATAATCACAAAGTGGAGTAATCCTTCATGTTTTAGAAACTTTGGAAATGCATCCAATGAGGACTTCTGGAATGTTTAATCAAAGGACGGATATTTTGCAAAGTCTACAAACCAACAAACACAAAGTGTAAAATAAAATGTTAAAAATGTCACTACACATGTTCTTCATTTAGCTCCCTTTCTGTGTGTAAAATCTTAGTTAAAACTTTTCCACTAACATTTTATTGTTGTTTWGCTCGCTGTTCTTACATTTTATGAATTTTTACTAAAAGTTAAAATCTTAAATGTTGTGGTTGTGTGTTGAAGTTTACATTTAAGAATTTCAGGATGAAGGGAGACTTTACTGTTTGAGCTCAGCTCCTATGTCATCACCACCCTTTAACAAAAGCAACCAACATTGATGCTAACAATTCTCATGCTGCTAACTCTGCTAATCCTGCTAATTCTACAAACTCTGCTAAAGCTACCAGCACTGCTAATGCTGCTAACTCTGCTAATGCTGCCAACTCTGCTAAAGCCGCTAATTCTACAAACTCTGCTAAAGCTACCAANCCAACACTGCTAATGCTGTTAACTCTGCTAATGCTGCTAATTCTACAAACTCTGCTAAAGCTGCTAATTCTACAAACTCTGCTAAAGCTACTAACACTGCTAATACAGTTAACTCTGCTAATGCTGCCAACTCTGCTACTGCTGCCAACTCTGCTAAAGCTGCTAATGCTGTTAACTCTGCTAACTCTGCTAAAGCTGTTAATGCTGTTAACTCTGCTAATGCTGCTAATTCTACAAACAATGCTAAATCTGCCAACACTGCTAATGCTGCTAAAGCTACTAATGCTGTTAACTCTGATAATGTTGCTAATTCTACTAACTCTGCTAAAGCTGCAAACACTGCTAACTCTGCTAAAGCTTCTTATAAGATACCTAACTTGCAGCTGTAGCCGGTGTTCGAGTAGCATTTCAAACTGCGGCATTCGGCAGTGTTAGCGGTTGCTTTTGTTGCAGGATGTAATGTAATCTTCAATGTTTAGCCACAACATTTAAGATTCAACTTTTAATTAGAATTAGCTAAATAACAATAAAATGTTAATGGAATATTTTAACTGAGATTTTACCCTTAAATTGAGATAAATAATGCAAATGTGTTAGTGACATATTTCAACACTTTATTTTACACTTGTTGCTCCATAAACACACAGAAAAAGACATTTTTTGCAGTTTTTGCGGATGAGGCCGACTTGGCTAAGATCATATGTGACACTACTTCAAAGGAAGTGGAGGATGAGCTTCCAGTTGCTTCCCACAGCACCCACAGCTCCAGTGGGAGGTCAGCTGTAAACAGCCTGGCCACTCACAGAACAGTTTGATGAAAGGGTCCCACCTGAGAGGAATTATTCGCCCCCTTTTCACCACAGCCTCTCTGCAATCCGACCATCCTCCTCCTCGAAGCACCGCTGTGTGTACATTTCTGCACCGCAGCGAAATACACAGAGCGTTCCACCCTCCACTGCATCCTGGAAATTGAACTTAGGAGAGCAGAGGTTGTTTAACCCACCACCCAGTAAAAAAAAATACCTTCCTTCTCAGACACACTCACCACGCCTCTGCCCAGATCTGGAGATTAATGTTGCATGAAATGGCATCACAGGCCTCTTCTTCTGAGGTAGCTTCAGTGTTGTTTGCAGTAATGGTATGGAGATTGAGGAACAAAAGGCCTCTCCTGTGGAGTGACTCAGGGGAAACTCACGAGGGTGGAGATTTTCAGCTCTTAATAAAATCCTCTWTATGCTTCCTCTTATATCAGAATATCTGATGTGTCTRTCGGACCAATRTGTGCAAAATGTTTATGAAATAAGCACACGCTTTGGTCTGCATGTGCACCTGTTTGTTCTGGTTTTGTTATTTTTATATTAACTGCTTATTCAGTGTTCAAGGTTTTTGAATGTTCTTGAATGGAGGATTAAACAGGAACCTTTGATCTTTGTGTCCTCCCTCCTCAGAGGCTGCTCCGAGCTTTACCGGATACCAATGGTGGAGTACAAGGTGGACAGCGAGGGTACGCCCTGCGAGTACAAGACCCCCTTCAGGAGAAACACGACCTGGCATCGGGTGCCCACAGCCGCCGGTGCGCCTCTGTCCCGCGGCTCGCCCACTCAGGGTCCGGACCGGCTGCAGTGCCAGCAGATCCTCCAGCAGCACCAGGCGGCCATCCCTCGAAGCACCTCCTTCGACAGGAAGCTGCCAGACGGCTCCAGGTTGTCAGCGTTTAAATTATTGGTTTCTTTTGTTTATATTTCCCAACATTTCCTTTTTTAAATCTGTTTATGCTAACTTTGTGATATTTTGGACATTCGTATATCAGAAACATTCAGCTTTACAGTTTTCAAAACATTTWTATTTACTCACAAATATTGTCCCCAGAGAAAAACGTTGACTTCTCTTTAATTGCATCTAAAATATTGTTCTGTTTGAAATCTGCTCCTTCCTTATTGTTGTGCTTTATTCTAAAATTAGCGTTTAGCTGCTGTTCTTACTTTTAGCATGGGGATAGCCTTTTGTTAATTTTAGCTAGTCTTTTTAAATGCTTAGCTTGCCTTTTGCTACTTCTAGTATTTGGCTAACTCTTTGCTGCTATTAGATTTTAGTTAACTTTTGTTCCTTTTAGCTTTTAGCTTGTCTTTTTATATGTTTAGCTAGCCTTGTGCTACTTGTAGTGTTTGGCTAACGTTTTGCTGCTATTAGATTTTAGCTAACCTTTTAGCTTTTAGCTTGTCTTTTTATATGTTTAGCTAGCCTTGTGCTACTTGTAGTATTTGGCTAACATTTTGCTGCTGTCAGAATTATCTAACTTTTAATGACGTTAAATAAAACCACTCTTAACCACAAAGCAGAAGGTTTAAAAAACCACTAATTCTTTAGATTTTAAACACAATGTTTGAAATCTGGTTTGTTGCTTCGTCTTCACACACTTTACTGTTCATTCGGCTGCTTCTGTCTTTCATCCCTTCATCAATAAACACTTGGATCTTGTTGCCAAAGGAATTCATACATGCCTTCATCGTCACCCTGCCTCCATGTGTTTTACAGATGATGATGATGTGTGGTTTGCATTATGAGCAGTTACGAGCCTTCTGTTTTATTTTTCTTCCTGGTGTCACTCTGGTTTATGTTAATCAGTTTTATCTGACTTGTAAATAGTTTGTTCTGAAGTTTTTAGCTGTCTGGTTGGTGTGAATGTTTTTCTTTCCCGTGGAAAGAAAAGAGTCCAGCTTGTTGATTCGGCCACTCCTAATATTCTTGTAACCTCTGTGGGACTACTTTTTGTTTTTGCAGCCTGCGATCAGATTAGAGAGCCTCTTTTAGACCATGAAGTGTCTCTCTTTTGTAAATTCAGCTTGGAATCGTCTCTAATCTCGTGTCTGGTTATCGTGAGGCGGGCAGTCATGTTTTTCCTCACGTCAGTTTCTGAGTCCCGTTAGTTGCTCCAAAACGCCGGCTGTATGATAATAAACCATTTGTGTCACATTAAGTCAGACAAACCTTAAAAAGACATTAAATTTAGAACCTAAACTAATTAAAAAGCTTTCAGGATGTTCCTGCTGGTGAAGCTTAATGGGTGAAAGGATTTTTTTTTCTGTTTGTGATCCAGGAACACAACGCTGAACAGAGCTAAATGCTTTGTGGTGAAATCTTTGAACTCTGAGTATTTCCTGTTTCGAGACGAGCCACGGGGACTCTGAGGAGCTGTTATTGTGTTCACATATTTGCATAGGTACAAACGGAGCGTTTTATTCAAATGAACTCGCCGCCCTGCTTTCATCTGTCCTCAGACGACGAGGCCGGACTGGGACTTTGTTCCGTCTCTTTTTGGACGTCTCCATTGAGCCGTGTAAAGCAGCGATTTGTTCGTCCTAATGAAACCCCAACGGTCTTGATAACCTTTCCCGTGTGCCCCCCTCCCGGTGTTGCCTGTTCCGACTGTGCTCCGATAATGACCGCCCTCTCTGCCTAATCAGAGTCTCTGGAAGTGGGAGGACTCCGTTGTCCTTTGCTCATTTTCCCCTCTCTTTGCATCTCCTGCCCCCCACCCCCACCCCACCCTCGTCTTCCTGCACCCCGCCGAGGAGGAGGTGATGGGGACACTGACACGGCTCGGCTCATCTCATCCAATTACTGCAGAAACAAAGACGGTGCTCTTCCCCGGACCACGATTTGTAGCCCCCCAGAGAGAGTGTTAGAGCAAGAGGGGAGTGAAGGAGTCAAGAGGGAGAGAGGAGGAGAGGATTACAGAGACAAATAATCTACAGGCATAAATTTAACATAAATTATCTTCATATTTGTTGGACTATTTTCACTAATTGAGTTAAAAAATGCTTAATTGCAACATGATTACTGAGCGTGAAGAGGCTGCTCTTCAGAAGGGAGGTGCTGGAGCTCAGTGGACAGCTCCGCGGCATTGTTCTACTGGGGCTGCAGGTTTGAATCCAGGTAGCATCAGGAAGGGCATGCGGCGTAAAACAATCAAGTTTGCTCACTATCAAAACTAGAATAACACTAGCTAAACACCTAAATGTAGCTAGCTAAAGTTTACAACTGCTGCAGAAGAGAGCATCCAATAAAGAAAAAGTAGAATATGTTTGTAACAAGAGAAGTAGCATTTACTGGAATGTAAATGTAGCAAAAAGCTATCAAAACTAGCATAAAGCTAACTAAACACCTAAATGT